GTGCGATGCGGTGCGTTCATGTCTGTTTCATTTGGTAGTGGTGTTAGTTTGTTTAGGTCATTCGGTTAGTTGGTGTATAATTGAATGTTAGCGAACAAATATGTGTGTGTGTGAACGTATGCATGCATGTATATAAGTGAAGTGTGTGCATTGGACGAACGTGTGTTTGTGGTTTGCCCGCTCGCACATTTCGGGGTATGTATGCTCACAGGAGGACCAGTGCGTACGTGTGTTTGTTTATTGCTCTGCGGTTATAGAATAGAGGTCTGTTTTAGAGGTAAATAAATGGAAATAAATGAATGTTTGAGTTTTTCGAGAAGTGAAAATGGAATTTTCAAATATCAAAATATACGAGTGTGTGTGTGCATGTGTGTATTTTCACTAAAGTTAGTTCACTCTGCCTTGGACGCCCCAAAAATTTTCTCTAATTCATGTTCATGTGCATGTGCTTTGTGAAAGTATACGAGTATATACCCATAAATATGCAAATGCTCCGCTCACACCTACACTCATAATACATATACTTTAACCGATATACACAGAAACCTATATTTGTCTCTAGATATGTACGAATTTTCAGACATTTGTGTATATTTATTTGCATTTAAAACTAAACCAAAACTATTCATTCAATAGAGCAACACCATTCAGAGCGTGCATATTTTTGGTTTTTGAAATTTAATATGTCTGTGAGATTATTAGAATGAATAGGTTCCTACATATTCGTATACATACCTTTGTACATATTTAAATGATTGTCCATTTCATATACACAATAAATTGTTTGAAGAAAGCGAAACTTCTGATTTGTACGCCTGAAAATAGAAAAAAGTTGAAAATCAGAATCAATATATTAAATTCGTTATAATAGCTAAAAACAATTTCCATAAATGTATTATTTAAAACAAGTTAACAAGTATCAGTCGGTATTGCCGACAGATATATAGCCTCAGCCTATGTTCGATTAAATAATCGAAATATATTTGACTAGTGTTACAATTATTCAAACGTTTGACCCTCTATGGAGCCGGTTTCGAAGGAATGGACCAATATTGTCCATTTCGTATCAGACTCAAAAATATGATATATATATATTCCAACGTTCCTTGTATGGATTATATCGACTCACACCTTACTTTATGAGATATATAATAATTTTTAGAAAATGTTAAAAAGTACGTGATGTACCATATGGAGTCTACCGAAATATACTTCATCTGATATTGAGCGAAATATGGGGCAAAATTACAAGAAAAGTTATTTATGTCAAATTTTATGCGAAATCATAAATTCCGATAAATTTCATATTCATATCAGGCTTCTTATTGAGAGAAATATTTGAGCATAGCAAATAGTAAAGATTTGCTAAATTGTTTCGAAAGTTATGACAGATAAAATTATTGAAAATTGTGACCCTTCGTATAAACTTCACAACAGATTTTGTGTTAGCAAAAATATTTGTGTGTGTGAAATTTGAAAAGAGTTGGATGCTTATTTAGCTTTATTTGTGTGTTTTGTTTTTCAAAATCTTGAACCCTATGTATAGGGGAGGTACCAGAAGAAATGGTTTGATCTATACCACCTTTATAACAGATCTTGTGTTGATAGAAATATTGAGATGTGCCAAGTCTAAATGGAATCGGATCTTAATTTGGCGTTTTATGAGCTTCATGGGTATTCAAAATTTCGACACTTTGTGGGGGAGGTACCAGAAGGAGTGGACCGATACATTCCATGTTAACACCAGATCTTGGGTTTATAAAAATATTGGAATGTGTGAAATTTGAAGACGTTCGGAATCTTACATCACATTTTATAAAAGTTGTAATTATTCAAAATTTTGACGCTTTGTGGGGGAGGTCCCTGATGGAGTGGACCGATATTGTCAATTTTCGCACCTGACCTAGCACTGACGCAAATATTAGGATTTGTAAAGTTAGAGCAAAACCGGGTAATCGTTTCTCTTTCTGTGCAAAAAATATATTTTATATATATATTTTTTTTTTTTTTTGAAAATTTCGACCTTTTTTGGGGGAGCTACCAAAAGGAGTGGAACGATGCATTCCCTCTTAACACCAGACCTTGAGTTAATAAAAATATTGAGATATGTGAAATTTTAAGACTATCGGACTCTTACATCACATTTTATAAAAGTTATAATTATTCAAAATTTTGACCCTTTGTGGGGGAGGTCCCTGATGAAGTGGACCGATATTGTCCATTTTCGCACCTTACCTAGTACTGATGAAAATACTAGCATTTGCAAAGTTCGAGCAAAATCGGATTATCGTTTCTCTTTGTGTGCAAAAAATATTTTTTGAAATTTCGACCTTTTGTGGGGGAGGTACCAGAAGGAGTGGACCGATATATTCCATTTGCGCACCAAACCCTGTGCTAATAAAATTATTGCGATGTGTGAAACTTGAAGACTATCGGGCTCTTACATCACATTTTATAAGAGTTATAATTATTCAAAAATTTTACCCTTTGTGGGGGAGGTCCCTGATGGAGTGGACCGATATTGTCTAGAACTGATGAAAATATTAGGATTCGCAAAGTTCGAGGAAAATCGGATTATCCTTTCTCTTTCTGTGCAATAAAATATTTTCTTTGAAAATTTGGACATTTTGTGTGGGAGGTACCAGAAGGAGTGATACGATATTGCCCATCTCCGAACTCGATCTAAGTTTGACAAAAATATTGCGATGTACCAAGTTTGGACCAAATCGGATACTCGCTTCGAGAGTTATCGTGCGCACCAGCCAGACAGACGGACGGACGGACGGACATCGCTAGATCGATTCCAAATGTTCTGAAACGGATTTGGTCCAAAGAGACCTAGGGTCTAAAACCGTTATTTCGACTAGGCACGTTTTGACCGCATCAAATGATATATACCCTCTGTAGCCATATGGCTGAGGGTATAAAAAAATCTCTCCCTGCGAAAAATTGGTAGGGTTATGTGGGAAAGTCGTAAAGTCGGGCGGGCTGACTTTATGATACCCTACACCACTTAACATATTTTATAGAGCTTCGCATAACAAATAAAAGGTTTTATGGGGAATTTGTAAGAATTAAATCATACCAACTGTAAAGTCCATAGGAACTAATATTTGAGAGGAATATCCTCCTCTGAATCGATTTCTACTAAATTTGCCGAGGCACTTTTGCCTTTTCGGGCTTGTATTACCCATTTGGTGCACTGCTGCCGAGGACAAAAATAACAAGTTGGATAAACAATATATATGGCAGCTATACCTATATCTGAACCGATTTCGATGAAATTTGGCATACCTATTTTTAGGTCCAATCTGGTCGTATGTATCAAATGCCATAATATTTGGGCTGATATTACACGTTTGGTGCACAATAAAAAACAAATCGGTCGAAGATACATGTTGTAGCTATATCTAAATTTTGACCGGTTTTCACCAATTTCAATAGGGTTTGTCCTTGGGTCAAATAAATTATTTGTGCAAAATTTAATCTGGATCGGGAAATAAATACGACCTGTACTTTGTTTACAAAAATACATGGATAGACGGAAGGACAAACATGCATAAATCGACACAGAATGTGATTTTATGCAGATCATAAAAAGGGTCTATCTCGTTTCCTATTGCCTGTTACAAACAAATGCACAAAGACATAATACCCTGACTACCTTGCGGTGCAGGGTATAAAAAGGTAAAGTAATTGACTGACTGACGTAACGATTCAGCTAAAACCTTGAAATTATGAGCAAGGGTTTTTCTTGGTCCGAAGGAGTCAGATAAGGCAGGGTTTTGCGAACTTCGTACCTTTATAGTAATAAAAGGTACTAAATACCCTTTTGTAATTGAGGAAGCAGTAGAGGTAGAGATATAACTTAAATTTGGAATGAGGGTCTCTAATATAAATTCGCATTATACAGGGTGAGATAAAAAAACTGCAACAAAGTCAAACGACATAATTTTTAATTTTTTTTAGTTTTATTGAATGAAGGCAAAAAATGTAGGAAATAACATCAAATTTTAGAATTTGTTCGAATTGGTCACCTTTGGCACGAATAATGGCCTTTAAGCGGCCAATGAAACCGTTACACGCTGCCCGTATGTTGCTCTGCGGTATTTTGGCCCATTCCCGGCGAATCGCTTGCTTGAGGTGATCGACACTTTGGTATCTTTAGTGCCAACCTTGCTTTCCAAAATACACAATAGTCCAACGGATTGGTATCCGGAGATTTTGGTGGCCATTGTGCTCTGGAAATGAAGCGAGGAACCTAATAACCTGTAACCATTCTTGGGTGGCGAGTACTGAGTACGATGGTGCTGAGTTCTGTTGGAATGTCCACGGTCTGCGGCCAAAATGTTTGAGTGCACATGGCTTTAATACACCCTCCAGAGTATTTTCGCGATAATATTCGGCATTTATTCTCATTTTGATCATTTTGTTTGTTTACAAACTGCTGGACAACGGAAGTTTTCTCATTCAGCAGTTCGCCGCTTTCGGTCAAGCGAAGCAACTCTTTAGCTCTTTTGAGTCCATTTTCTTGCACTTTTTTGAATTTCAATGGCTTTACCTCGAGCTCAATATTTGCCGAATGGAATATTGCGAAATTTTCAGCTCACGTGCCAATTTCTGTTTTGAAAATTGGGCATAATGATCCGTTTATTAGTATATCCGGAAATATAAATCTAATGGTCAATTAAAATAGCATTACAATTTAATTTTATCCTGGACCTTTAAAATTCCCCTTAATTTTTAACCAATTAAACTATATACAAATATACACAAACATCTGTCTTCTGTATTTATTTTTTTTTTCAATGAATATGAAACTACTTTTAATTGGAAATGCAATTGCAATAATTTATATTTATACACATTCATAGTATTATTAATACTCAAACAAAGCAAGACTAAACAAAAACATTTTATTCATATTCTCTCCATTCTTTCGTATTCTCTTTGTCTTTGCAGGGCAGACGTTTTGAATGGAAGAATAACAAATGATTTAATCTTGCCAATAGAGTAATGATAAATAATTAAATTCATAAATAACTAAACGCATGAAAAGAGAAAACAAAGGACAAGACTCAACATCAACAACAACTGCAAACTGAATGCATGGAAGTTAAAGACACCTTAAAGTGTCATCTCAGCAATTCGACAGCAACAAAATTTCCATTCACCCATAGCATCGCCCGGAATTCAACATCATTGTCATCCGAATATTTGCATCATTGCTGCTGATGAAATATGGATTTGATACACATTTTCTGGAATTACATTCTGATATTGCTAACGAAAACATGTGGTAAGTACCGAGAGTGTGTAGCACTGTGTCATGCCAAGGAGTTTAAGTGTACGAACGAGTTCGAACATGTGTGTGTGTGTGTTTTTGTATGGACTGAGTAAATTCACTTTCTGTTCAAACTTTTGAATTGTTAAAGTTGGGGAACACATTCAATCCATCCATCCATCCACAACCAGTGCAAAGAATTTCACTTATGAATATTCAATGGAAATACTTTTGATTTTGTTGCACAAAAGTGCTATTCGTGAGAATTTAGTTGGAAGTTATAAAAAGTCAGTTATTAGTTCATCGTTTAGTTGGAGTTCTTTTTGGGGGAATTTCTTTAAAACATTAAATTTTTAGGGTAGGGAAGATTTAAGATGGACAAAGTTACTACATTTAAAGGGAGAGCAGCAAGAAATAAAGAGGTAACAGTAATAAAATTAATAATAACAACAACAACAATTAATAATAACAACAACAAAAAATGTAAGTTCGGCCGGGCCGGGAACTTTGAATAATCTCCACCATTTGGAACGAATTCGGCAATTTTTCTTAAAAATAACGATTGTAGCCGACGAGGTGGACCTGCATAATCAAAATACCGAATGTAGGGAGATACTATTATATGAGAGCTATACAAAAACGTGTACCTGCACAGACAAATTCCTATCATAGACTATAGTATCCATTACGAACTACAAATACCAAATTTGAAACAATTCCGGTAAATAATGCCGCTAAATAATCAAAATACCGAATATCGGGAGGTACCGCTATATGGGAGCTATGCGAAGACGTCGGCCGGCACAGACAATTTTCTGTCATAGGCTGTAGTATCCATTACCAACTACAAATACCAAATTTGAAACAATTCCGGTGAATAACGTCGCTAAAATCATCAAAATACCGAATATGGGGAGGTACCGTAACATGGGTGCCATAAGAAGACGTGGACCTGCACAGACAATCTTCTGTCATATGTTGTAGTATTCATTACAAACTTCAAATACCAAATTGAAAACAATTCCGGTGAATACTGTCGCTAAAATCATCAAAATAGCGAATATGGGGAGGTACCGTTATGTGGGGACTATACCAAAACGTGGACCTATATGGCCTATTTCCAATACCAAAAGTCCTGCAGACAACATATACATTAGAGTTAAATTTTATCAACCTACTTCATTTTGTTCGAAAGATACAATGATTTCCACAGATGGACGGACGAATAGCCGGACAGACGGACAGACATCGCTAAATCGACGTAGAATTTAATGCTGACCAAGAATATATATATATATATACTTTGTGGGGTCTAAAATTTATATTCCGAGGTGTTACAAACGGAATGACAAACTTAGTATACCCTCCATACTATGGTGGATGGTATAAAAATACTAATATATAATAGTAATAATAATAATAATATAATAATAAATATAATACTAATAATAATATAATAATAATAATAATAATAATATAATAATAATAATATAATAATATAATAATAATAATAATACTATAATAATAATAATATATAATAATAATAATAATAATAATAATAATAATAATAATAATAATAATAATAATAATAATAATAATAATATAATAATAATAATAATAATAATAATAATAATAATAATAATAATAATAATAATAATAATAATAATAATAATAATAATAATAACAATAATAATAATAATAATAATAATAATAATAATAATAATAATATAATAATAATATAATAATAATAATAATAATAATAATAATATAATAATAATAATAATAATAATAATAATAATAATATAATAATAATAATAATAATAATAATAATAATAATAATAATAATAATATAATATAATAATAATAATAATAATAATAATAATAATAATAATAATAATAATAATAATAATAATAATAATAATAATAATAATAATAATAATAATAATAATAATAATAATATAATAATAATAATAATAATATAATAATAATAATAATAATAATAATAATAATAATAATAATATAATAATAATAATAATAATAATAATAATAATAATAGTAATAACAATAACAATAATAATAATAACAATAATAATAATAATAATAATATTTATGAAATTTAATAGAGTAATTATGTAATTGCTCGAAGCGATGATCAATGAAGTCCTTGTATTTTAGGCTCTTATTTCTGGGTTGTATCTGATATCTGGTACCAAATATTATTCCTGTGGAGTGCATATTGCGAATATGAGAGACTTAAACTTCAAATTAGATGAAACATGTATATGGGAGCTATGGGTATATCTGAACCGATTTTCACCGAATTTTATGTGCTTGCTTCTAAAGAGTGATTTGTTAAGAGCTTGATAACTTAAAAAAAAAAAAAAAAACGCATAAAATTTGCAAAATCTCATCGGTTCTTTATTTGAAACGTTAGATTGGTCCATGACATTTACTTTTTGAAGATAATTTCATTTAAATGTTGACGGCGGCTGCGTCTTAGGTGGTCCATTCGGAAAGTCCAATTTTGGGCAACTTTTTCGAGCATTTCGGCTGGAATAGCCCGAATTTCTTCGGAAATGTTGTCTTCCAAAGCTGGAATAGTTGCTGGCTTATTTCTGTAGACTTTAGACTTGACGTAGCCCCACAAAAAATAGTCTAAAGGCGTCAAATCGCATGATCTTGGTGGCCAACTTACCGGTCCATTTCTTGAGATGAATTGTTCTCCGAAGTTTTCCCTCAAAATGGCCATAGAATCGCGAGCTGTGTGGCATGTAGCGCCATCTTGTTGAAACCACATGTCAACCAAGTTCAGTTCTTCCATTTTTGGCAACAAAAAGTTTGTTAGCATCGAACGATAGCGATCGCCATTCACAGTAACGTTGCGTCCAACAGCATCTTTGAAAAAATACGGTCCAATGATTCCACCAGCGTACAAACCACACCAAACAGTGCATTTTTCGGGATGCATGGGCAGTTCTTGAACGGCTTCTGGTTGCTCTTCACTCCAAATGCGGCAATTTTGCTTATTTACGTAGCCATTCAACCAGAAATGAGACTCATTGCTGAACAAAATTTGTCGATAAAAAAGCGGATTTTCTGCCAACTTTTCTAGGGCCCATTCACTGAAAATTCGACGTTGTGGCAGATCGTTCGGCTTCAGTTCTTGCACGAGCTGTATTTTATACGGTTTTACACCAAGATCTTTGCGTAAAATCTTCCATGTGGTCGAGTAACACAAACCCAATTGCTGCGAACGGCGACGAATTGACATTTCACGGTCTTCAGCAACACTCTCAGAAACAAACGCAATATTCTCTTCTGTACGCACTGTACGCATTCGTGTGGTTGGTTTAATGTCCAATAAAGTAAACTGAGTGCGAAACTTGGTCACAATCGCATTAATTGTTTGCTCACTTGGTCGATTATGTATCGGACGTAAAGCGCGAAACACATTTCGAACCGAACACTGATTTTGGTAATAAAATTCAATGATTTGCAAGCGTTGCTCGTTAGTAAGTCTATTCATGATGAAATGTCAAAGCATACTGAGCATCTTTCTCTTTGACACCATGTCTGAAATCCCACGTGATCTGTCAAATACTAATGCATGAAAATCCTAACCTCAAAAAAATCACCCTTTAGTTCAGTCCGATGTGCTAAAATTCAGGTCTTTTGGACTGATATTGGTCTGTTGGTGCACAAATAATCTGAAATCGATTAATTCTAAATTCTAAATTTGAACCAATTCTCACCAATTTCAGCAGAGGTAGTCCTTGTGAAAAAACAAATATTGTTTGGAAAATTTCTTCTCAATCGGATAATAAATGCGACCTGCATTTTGTTCACAAAAATACATGGACAGACGGACTTGCCACTATGTGGTGTAGGGTATAAATAGAGGAAAAACCTAACCGATTATGAAAGTAAATTTGCAAAAATAATACACGTGTATCGGCGTTTTGAATGTTATATCGCAAAGTAACTTAAATAGAGGGATCGAATTCCACCTTTTGAACATTCCTTTTTCAAATTTTTAGATTTAGATTCCTTGGAATTATTACATGCTAGGTACATAGTGAATACTTGAGCCAAGAATATGAAAATTATTTTAGACGAAAATGTATACCCTCAAGTGAATTATCGAAAGAGGTCTTTTGGGACCTACTTTCAAAATATGATTAAAAATTATTTCTAATCGGGCTCGTGGCAAGTCAAATTCACTAATTTGTCATTCCGTTTGCAACACCTCATTGGAGACCTCAGAAAGCATAAACATTCCTTATAAGAATGAAACAATTTAAAAAGTATCAGTCGGGTTTTTTTTTTTGACAGATGTTCTATTATTTAAATATAATTTGACATAACAGAAGTCATTATTCAAATTGTGAACCCTCTATCGACTAGGTTCCGAAAGAAATATTGTCTATTTCGTATCGGACCTAAATACATATGAGTTGGATTATATTGGTGACTTCCTTCACTTTATATGAGATATGTGATAGTTTTTAGAAAAGTTCAAATGTGCGTGAGGTATCAAATAGAGTCAATACAAAAATACATACAAAAACAGACTTTATATCGAATTATTGTGTTAATAGAAATATTGAGATGTACGAAGTCTGAACGAAATTGAATGTTAATTTCAGGTTTTATGAGCATCATGGATATTCACAATTTTGTCCCTTTGTGAGGTACCTGAAATAATGGACCCATTCCCCCATTCCCCCAGTCCCATTTTCACATCATATCTTGTGTTAGAAAAAATAAGGGGTCGTGTGAAATAAAAAGAGGACCTGATGCATATTTCGCGTTTTATAACCTTCATAGATATTCAAAATGTTGACCTTTGTGGGGGAGGTACCAGAAAAAATGGTCCGATCTTTACCATATTTAAAAAAAAAACTTGTCTGGACGGAAATATTCAGATGTGACAGATTGAAATTGAATCGAATGTAAATTTCGCGTTTTATGAACTTCATGGACACTAAAAACTTTGTTCCTTTGTGGGGGAGGTA